CAAAAGCTCTTAACAGCCAGGCACCATCAACTTAAAGAGCTAATAGTGCTGTATAACCCCTCTAGAACATTATGCTCCCAGAATGCAGTTCTACACAGTGTCTAAATGTACTATGGGAGGCAGAGCCTTCGGTTATCAGGCCCCTCTCCTTTGGAATCATCTAGACCGAGTCCGGGAGGCAGACACCTTCACTAACCTTTAAGAGTAGGTTCACAAACTTTTCTTTTGATAAAGCTATTTGTTCGGGCTGCCTCAGGCTTGGACCAGCTACCATTTGCTGCTATAGGCTTAGGAGTTGAGCGGTCGTCGCCTGTGTCCGGTTCCGTCGCTACCTGCCGTACCCCATTGGTATTTTTTTGGCCGATTCGACATGTAGAATCGGCATCGGCAGTCTGTGAGAGGATTCTCTGATTGGCTGTTCGGAGGTTCCATTTATCTCCAGCTCTTGACACACGTTTGGGAAACCCCTCTAGCATGACGCTGTAATCCATGCTTTCACCCATTAGTGCGTTTTCTCCTTATTTGTCGGCTCTTCTTTTTTTTTTCCACTTAAAGACCAAGGGCTGACAATGCCAGTGCCATTTTCAACTTTTTATCAGACATTATTCTCGATTAGTAGGCTACCTATAGTACGAGCGGTGTGAAAATGGTCTTCTCTTATCATAACAACGGACTACTGCCACCTGCTGGCGTGGAGAGTTATTTCTAGTGCAACTTTTTGGACAAGGCGTGAGGCGATGCCGTCTGCTTGGTGTGTAAGGGCATTATGTATGAATTAAAGAGTGAAAAGGGAGATTTCAGACTAGTGTATAGTTTGGTTGTTATCTGTGATAAATACTTTGATGGAGGTACTTGACACTTGATGTGATTTTATGTAAGTATTCACTTCCTCTGGTAGTTTGCAGCCTGATAACTTTAATTTTTTTAATTCCTCTCTCGTGTTTCTTCTCTGAGCCTTTGTGGTGCCGAAGCCTTAAAAATGCTGAACGCGAGCGAGATTGTGCGCCAAACTGCATCCGTGTTTGAACTTCCTGCAGCTGCTCTCCATCGCCCAATTAAATCTGAACCTTTGTGAAAACAAAAAGAGAAGCTGTGAGGTGACATGCTCCGGCTGGACGACTGTATCATCACTGTCTCTTTTTAGCAGCGATGCTAACGCTCCACTTTTCCTTCCTTTACATTTCTAAGTTTCCTTTTCATGTGCGACATAAAGAGCAGAGATTAAAGTGGACGAGAGAAATCTCCAGTTATTTCCTGTTAATATGGTTCCCTTATTGGGCTCTAATGAGAGGAGTCGCCCCGTCACTTTAAGAGGGCTTAGCAGCAGTTAGCTGGCTCGGGGCCACGGGACAACAATCACACTTTAACTCACCATCACTCACACCGACTAATTCCTCCTTTCAGAGCGGCCATGAAACGCCACAGGCACAATTAATCGATGCTAATGGCCGCCTTCAATCAAAGCTGAGCCGCGTCCAAATCTGCCCGTAAGAACTATTAATTAACATGTGGAGGGGTGGGGGCAGCAGGGGGGCAGGATGGGGAGGAGAAAGGGGCTCTGCGGTTCACACGGGCCTCCACAGGGCAGCTCATTGAAGGAGGAAGCAGGGGGGCTTTGTGGGGACTCTGGGGCCACAATCAGAGACTCCTGAATGAGCTGCCGTTTGTCCTCCAGGTCCAAAAGCTGCACAGGAAAACGGGCCAGGTGGGCGGGGCAAATCAGACACTGAGAGGTGACACGAGTCAAAAAAATACAACAAGATAAAGATTTTACTTCTTTGTAATCGTGTTGTGATGATGCCAGAAGGTAAACTTTGATATGATTGTAGAGTCAAATCAAATGATATTGATACCTGTTTCCATACCACAGCAGCTACAACAGAAGTCCAAGGCACCCAATACTGGGCCATTTCTTGTTTTTAATGATCAAAGGTTGCAGGCTGCAACACCTTCACAGTGTCTAAATTCCACTAATACACAATGTTGCCAACATATTTGTACAATTAAGTCATCGTGTAGGAGTTTGCCTGCAATTTTTGATCTACTCTCTCCTACGCACCTGTTTAATGAGGAAGATGTAGTTTGAATTAATTATTGAATAATAAAAAAATGTATTTAATCTAAACCCCCTCAGAAAAGTCATCTGTGGTATTTTTTCTCTCTCAACCTTGATTTTATAACATAAATGTAGTATACTATAGTATATATAGTACTATAGTATATAGTATACTACAGTAAGGTATTGTAAATGTCATAAGATCCAGCCCCATGTTAACAGACGGGAATTGGGTCAACATACATGTCAAACCATTTTTTCTCCAACATGTTTTCTGCATTTACAGTTCTTATAATGCAGAAAATATCCGTTCGTCATGCTTCAATTTTTTACAACAGTCAGTGGCAAATGTCTGTACTTTTTGTAAGGGTCCTGAACGCCTCAGCAAAGACTTTTAATGTGAGTCTGTTAGCATACGGCTAGCTGTTCCTCTTAACATGAGGTCTGTTTCCACCTTTAGATGTCTGACACCGACCAACCTGACTGTCAGAAAGTGTGTGTGTGTGTGTGTGTGTGTGTGTGTGTGTGTGTGTGTGTGTGTGTGTGTGTGGGGTGTGGGTGTGTGTGTCTAAGAGAGAGAGAGAGTGTGTGTGTGTGTATGTCACTCTGAACGACAGGTCAATTGACACAGAACAAGAGATTTGACCCTAAGAGGTCACAGGTCAAAGGAAACTCCCTCTGTTTCTGTTGTTCAGTGTTTTTATCACAGTGAGACGTTTCAGCTCTCGTTAGCTCTCAGACTGAACAAAACAAATCCACCTTGATAATCTGAAGGATTTAATCACCATTAATTAAACCAAATTTTCATTGATGCCAAATCAGATTGTGAAATATTCTTCTGTGTTGCGTGCTTTTGCTTGTACTTGTATCTTTCATATTATCCCTTTTAACATTTTTTGAAATTTAAAGTCATTTTATGTCTTAAAAAGTTTTGTTTTTTTCATATATAGATTGTGCACCGGTCTGAATATTTTATCTTATATCTTATATTATTTTAAGTTAGCATTGTGTCATTTTATTTTATTCATTTTGTGGATTTGCGTGTTTTCATGAAAATTCATGGCATTTACGACAGCATCTTACTTATACATTAACAAACCCCGAACAGAACAGACGAGGAGAAGAAGATGAGAAAAATGCACTTCAAGGAAATTTGACTTTGAGATTAAAATATAGGAAATGATAATGAGGCGACATGCCAGATATGCATAACTGCTTTATAAACTTGGGACAGTGGGAGACAAAGTGGTTGAGTGCAAAAAATGCAAAAATGGTAATGTTCTGATCAACAAAAAAAAGGTCTGAAGTCTTGGAGCAACCCTTTTATTGATCATGATTAATAATGTTGACTCTCCCTCTTCCAATCAAATAAACACAAAGATTATTTCAACAGATCAAAGACGGGTTTAAATTCTTAAAGTCCGAAAATGTTTAAACTTGACACGTCAGTGAAACCTTTACTGGCATCATGTTAAATCAATATATGGCACACATCTTGATTTCATTGCTCTGTTTAGACTCTAAATCACTTTGTGTGGGTTCATTTTACTGCATGTGACAAAGTGAATAGATGTGGCTGTTGTGGTTGCACAGATGTTACGTGCACATTTGAAACGCAAGATCCAGATGTGGGTGATTTTATTTATGTACAAAAAAACAAAAGGAAATATTTCAGAACTTTCTTTTTTTTATATTTATTTTTGGTCTTTTTGTGCCCTCAATGGAGAGACAGGACAGTGGATAGATCCGGAAATCATGGAGAGAGAGAGAGTAGGGAATGACATGCGGGAAAAGGAGCCACAGGTGGGATTCGAACCAGCGCCCCACCAGCTCCCCAAGATTTCAGAACTTAATGAATAACTTAACGAAATAAATTCACAACTTCTAAATTAGGTTTCTTTAACTTACTTCATTAATGCGTCCACGTCCGGTATTTCAATCTTTCTATAAACAAGTTAAATACATGAGGAATATACGTAGAGATGGAAAATGGAAGACACAGGCCTGAGGTGCTATTGCACATGTAATGATGGAGGGGGTTGGCACACCTGACCTTGACACTCCCACTGGCACTTGTAAAAAACCTGCATTGTGTAAGAAACTTGGCAGCTTTGGTTGCCAGGGTAACACCGTAAAAAAAAAACATGGTACACCTTTTTCTCATGACGGTAAAAGGATACGAGTACCACAACTTTTACGCTAAAGGTTAGACTTGAATTCCATATTGCTGAATTCAAACTTTATTTTTTACCTGAATAAACATTGTATTGCCACGATGCAGGTGGGATGAAGGCAGTGTGTGTTTATGCTGAAAATGTCAACAGTGACGGAAACACGATGCAGCATGTATTCACTTTTCAGCATTAAATCAAATTAATCGTTTGAACTAAATTGGCATGGCGTGTCTCTCCTCTTCCTAATTTTACAACAGAAGCCACAAAGTTCACACCTGGCTCAACTTTGTGCGGCCATGTTTTGAACCAAACTTCTCCATTCATGAAGAAAGCTAAGCTCTTAATGAACACCTAGCTCTAACATTTAAAAAAAATTTTTAATTGGCCTTTTAAATTGTGATCTCCATGTGAAGTGCAGCGTCATTTTTAAAAGAATATTACAAACCTTGAATGAATGATTGTGTAGTTAACAAGATTAAATTAAATGTTTTACCAGCTCATCTCGATTAGGCCAATGATTAAACCCTCGTTAGTGACGTCATCTTTGTCAAGACCTCATTAGACTTATATTATCATCATTCTCTGAATCATACACTTCATACTCACCTCCTCATCACTGTCAGTCATCATCACTCAGATCCTTCCTCCTCTTCCTCTTACCAATCAACAAAATGGCTGTCTGAAAGGTCGCCTCTGCGCATGCTCAGCGCACCTCTGCCGGGGAGGGCAGGGCAGGTATCACCCTCCACAGCCCGCTCTCTGACAGACTATCTAGCTCCGCTTTTCAAGCAGCATGCGGCGGCAGGAGGAGCAAGGACACACCGACTGATCAGAGCTTGGCACCCCGCCGCAGAGTGCTCCAAACCCGGCCGCTGCCACGAGGATCCACACTGCCACTGACAGGACCCTGTGACGGGAGTTTTATTGATCCTGCACGGGCAGGACAGACACCGCCCCGCACTCAGGTGAGAGGAGGGAAACTTCAGCCACCTTCAGGTGCAGAGATCCGGACCTGCGTGCGGCTTTTACACACTCTTTGGAGACTTATGGATCTCTGGGGGCTGCCCGGAGTCTGAGCCCCCCCGAGCCCGAGGAAGTGGACTAACAGGACGCCGATTTGCTCTCACTTTCATCCTCCTCCTCCTCAAAGCTTCAGGTGTTTACAATGTTCCAGCACAGCAATAACAAGAAATGCTTCACCATTGAGTCTCTGGTTGGGAAGGAGGCGCTCGGCCACAGCGGTGGCTCCGGAGACGAGCCCATCCGGCCCACGGCGCTCCGCTTCCCGGAGTCCCTGCACCCTGCGGCCGCTGCAGCCGCCGGGGTGTTCGGCTCATGCTTCCAGGGGGGCAGCGGCAGGACTCTGTACTCCGCCGGGCCGGACATGGTGCTCCAGGAGCCCGGAGCGCACGGGCAGAGCCCCGGAGGGCTGCCGTTGCACCCGCTGCAGATCCCCCCGCAGAGCTTCTTCAGCCCGCAGCACCGAGAGGCGCTCAGCTTTTACCCGTGGGTGCTGCGTGGACGATACCTGGGACACCGCTTCCAAGGTGAGCCGAGGGAGGGAAGGAGGGAGGGAGGCAGAGGGGTGGGTGGGGTGGGGGAGAGAACGGTGGTTTTTTGGCTTTATAGTCTTAAAGAATTATTTGCGATTGTGCGTTCAGATTCTTTCTATTTAATGAGTTTGTTTTGATGCTGTTATTGATAGGCCTATTTTTTTTTCCAGATGTAAATTTAACATCCCGTGTTTTAGTGTGTTTGTACCAAAAGAATCAGACATGGGATCATAATAATGAGATTTATTATTATTTAGATAATTTACACCAGAAATGATTCAACTTCACTTTGTATTTCTTTACTTTTCTTCTGGCAATTCCTTCATTTTTAAAAAACCCTGTTTTTACACCCTAATTGTTACTTATAACGGAGACCTATCGACTTTTGTCCTAAATTAAAATGTCCAGTTAGCAACTCACAGAAATCCCTCAAAACATTTGAATAATTATTAGTCATGTTGAGTGAGGTAATGGAGGTAGAATTGGCGGTGTGTTTAATATCTGTACTACAGTCTGACTCATTGACAGAGTGACTAGTGAGTGAATATCGATTGTTTGATTTTGCAGCATTTTGAAAAACATGAATTGTGTTTGCGTAGAGGAAGGAGAGATGCTCAGTTTAGTGTTTTCACCCTGAAGCTTTTATTTAGTTCAAATAAACGTTTGGTTAATATAAATAATCTATTAGCTAATATAAATATTTGACACTATCTGGTGTATTTTTTCCATCTTCATGACGATATAACAACACGGTTTTTTAAACATTTTATTCTTTTACTGGGTGTTTTATGGATCGTTTCTCTCAGTTCATCCGGATTAATTAAAACTTCTCACGTTTTCTGTGGAAATAATTACCTCACCCCTCTCACCTTCACCCTCCTCCTCCTCCTCCTCTCCCCCCTCACCCACCTCGTCAATGAGTCATTTTAAATGTTAGGATCTTATCTTGATTTATTTAGAAGTCTATACAATTTCCTGCATCGTTAGGCTACATCTCCCTTTTTTAAAGGCTTTAAATGCAGGTTTGTTTTTATCCAGGCAGCAGTTGAAGTGACCTCTGACCTTTAGAGATATGACTCTAATCCTGTGTCAGATTCTGCAGTATTCTTGGTAGATTAAAGGAAAGTGTTGAGGGCCCTTAATGTGAAAGCTCTGTTTTCTGCTGCTCTGTGTGGACTTCAAAGAATCTTGTGTTTTTGTTTGTTTCTGATCCTCTGAATATCGAGCTCATGAACCAATCAGATCACCTTTTTTTGTCAAACAACCAATCCCCATTCAACTTTCTGTAAATGTAAGCAGAAACACGACGTCAGCTCATCATTTAAAGAGTGATTTAATGTGAAGCTGAACGATGTGTGTTGTAGAGTTTCAGACCCACCAAACCCCATTTAACTTTTCTATTAATTTAGGAAGAAACAGGAAGTCACAGTGTCAGCCTACTTAAACAGAAATTTGATGTGAATTTGAAACAATCTGTTGTCTTCATTATGAGAGTTTCAGATCGTCTTCGTTGAAACAACCAAACCATTTAATGTTTTTTTATTAATTTAAGAAGAAATGTGCGTTTGGACCGGTTGTCTTCCTTTTCAAAGTTTATGAACAAGTAATGAGTAAATGAGATGCCCTTCTCAAGTTAATTGTTTTATAGATTATAGATTAATTATGCTATAGATAAATGAAACTCGTGTTCTCGTGTTTCTGAATAGGCCTAAAGGTAGCCTGAACTAAAACTTTATTGAAACTCGAGGTGTCGTCACAGCCTGGTGAGGGTTTGTGTTTTATAGTTTATTATTAGTAAAGAATATGATTAATAAATACTGTTTAGCCTCAGGCCGCGATGTGTGTAAATTTAAATTAGTGTGAGTTTACCCGAGAGACTCAATAATAGCCTATAGACTATAACATCCGGGTGTTGCTATTTAATTAGAGGCGGTGGAACACGTTTAAAGGAAAACGAATAAAGGTGATTAAAATCCAAAACACCTGATGGTTTCACGAAAGGAGATTTGACGTAAAAAAAAAAAAAAAAAATCAGCTGAATGTTTTTATAAGAAAATGTTTGTTTATTAAATTCAGCGCCAACAAAATTGTTCACCTCACGCGCCCTCTTGAAGACGATCCTACTCAAGTCGTTAACGCAAATATTTTAGTAGGCTATTTGTTTAATGACACTACAAAAAGGAAAACTAAATAAATACTTAAGACTTCATTCTGTTTAGAATTTGACAAGGCCTATGTGACACCGCAAACAAAAACAAAAAAAACTCAGTAAAATGAAACGGCCAAAGTAAATAAAGAATTAAATAAAAAATGAATTTTAATCTCGTAAATTAACAAAATGAAGTCTTCAATCAGATTTTTTTGAATTGCATTTATTTGATCTTCTTTTAAAATGATTGTCAATAATATGAGTTTTATCACGTGAAGGAGTAAAGATCCTCTGAATCAAATCAAACAAACAATTTATGAAAAGTAAATAATAAAAATATATATATATTAAATAAGAACTGAACTAAAATATCACATATTAAAATCCATATGCAGAGATGTAAAACAAAATAATTACGAGTAAACATAAAATGTAAACATGATTACAAACTAGTTTAAAAAACACATTCATTTCTGAATGAGTTTTTGACTGAATATGTTAACCTTTTCGTTTCTCTTTAAATTAGAGTTCAAACATTTCCTCCTCATATTTACATAGAAACAACAAAAACTGTCAAACTAAAATTAGACCTCCAGCTTATTTGATAAAACTGAACTTGGTGACATTTTATTAAGAGAGGAAGAAGGTGGATCTTCTTTTACCTCAGCTTTTTCTTATAGCAAGTCTTCTTATGCTTCTGATCAGTGACAAATCATCAGACGGTGGAAAGTAACCGAGTGCCTTTTGCTCCAGAACTTTTCTTTAGGTACAGATATGAAGTACACACTACTTGGCTTGTTTTGTTTTCGTGTGACTCTCCTTCTGAATGTAACTGACAGCCCCACAAATGAAGACATTCAAACAAAACATATTCAGCCTTTGATATAATTCACAAATATTCTCTACAAGAGCAGGTGAACAATTAATTGACTATCCAATTATTGATGGACAGAAAATAATTCAGCCACTTCATGAAATCTGTTGAATGATCTTTCCTGTAAAAAATGTTGCATTGTTATCTTGATATTTTTCAGCTTTTCCTTTTGAATAATTGTCACTAAAAAAACTCAATCTAATAATAGAGGAAATCATTTGTTGATTAATTCAGTGAACTAAATATTTTTTAATTGCAGTCCCATAAAATATATATATAGTTAAAATGAGCTCCACCTAAAACAACTCCAACATAAAAATCTACTTTTCTATTATGATTACTCCAAATAATCTGAAGGCAGAATAAACAAGAATACATCTATATATATATATATATATATATATTTTACTTTTAATAATTTAATACTGCAGGTTGCCTTACACTTTCTTGACGGTTTATTTTTTACAGTGTTGTTTTAGTATTGATGGTAGCTGAAGATGTGAAAACGTTCATGACCTTTGACCTCACACTGTGATGTCATCGAGCAGCTTAACTCACCTGTCAGTGTGCACAAGTAATAAAACTGATTCAGTTCAATTCCAAACAAACTTTATTGACACAAGGTGACTCAACACAAACTGATTGTTGAATCTTCTTGTCAGTCACGTCATCATCAGCTGATTTAACCCTTTCACGTTTGCTTTATTTATCAGGGAATAAATCTGCTGCTGCTGCTTCAATACATTTTATTAATTAATCTGATTTGATTTATTTCTTTTGCACATTAATCAGTGGATGTTGTTGTTTGTAAAATGTTCTAATAGGCTAAATAAAAGCCCACAAATGTAGTAAAAGTGTTAAATGAAGAGAAATAGACCTTAGTTTAAATAATTAAAATAACTTTTCACTGTTAGACATAGATTCTTCTGGAGTCCAAGGTTTTTATTTTTATTTTTTATTTTTTCTCTGTAGGATAGTTTTGATCATCACTTTTATACCCTTTACAAATGGTAAAATTTACATTTTAATGACAAATAGATTTAGAAGTTCCTGAAAAAGTAAAACATCTCCAATATATTTTTATTGTCTCACATTTAAATAAGAATTCGTCTTTATCTATTAGGTACATGAGGTGTGGCTCAAAGTGTTTAAATGAATATAAATTATGAAATAAATTGCATTCAAAATTTAGTAAAAGAACATGTGAGTTTGTCAACCTGTGGCTGTGGACCCTGACGAGGCCGCAGGGTTTTTGTTAGAGGGTCCCATGCTGTTTGAGGGTGATCGCTGCACGTCGCCTCAGCAGGAGACCTGTAGATACCTGTCAGTGTTACACACACACACACACACACACACACACACACACACACACACACACACACACACACACACACACACACACACACACACACACACACACACACTCAGCTCTTCACGTGTCAGATTAAAGGCTTGTAGATCTTTTGTGTGACAGCTGTTAAAACACTCAGACTCTGTTGGAAATTTGGCTTTTGTGTGTTTGTAGTTTAAAAGATTTGAAACTCTTTTAGGATTAGTACCAAGTTTGGATACTTTAAATATTTAAAACATATCAGACAGGAAACAAGGAGTGACTGTAAGTATTCTACAGGAGAGATGGCCTCCAAAATATCTAAAAATAATCAACTTCATCTTTATTTTTTTCTGGCTATAAATGAATGAAATGTGCTCGTCCATAATTCTTGTAACCACACCAGCTTGTTCTACTTTTGGAAAATACAAAAATCTGTGAAAACTGAATTACTGTTCATATCAAATGTGTGACTAAAATAATTAAAGCCAGCTCTTGTGTTTGAGATCTGCAGGAGTCAAACTTTACCATCACACAGGTGTAAATGATCCTAATCCTGCAGGAAACATTTCCTCTTTCGTTTGAATGAAAAACAAACTCTACAAAGAGAAGCTAGAATTTAATCTTTAAGAGTGGATGTA